GTGAAGGATGGCAGCTCGGAGAGGTTTGAGCACCATGGTTCTGTCAGGAGGCTTTATGTTTGAGTTATAGCCAGGAGGCTCGAGTTTGTTTGGCTTTGATACTACACCGGTGGTTTGGGTGAGGCTATAGGGGTTGGAGGAGGCCTCGTAGGGACCCCCAGAGGGGTGGGGGGCCCTAGTGCCTGAGGAGGGCGCAGTGTCCTCATAGGGACCCACAGGGGGTGGGGCCCTAGCGCCAGTGAGGGTGCGGTATTCTCAGGGGGAACCCCAGTGGTATGGGAGCCCCAGTGCCAGTGAAGGCGGAGCGCCAGTGAGGGCGCAGCTTGCGGGGCGTAGACCCCAGCCCCAGAGAGGGGCGGCTTTGAGAAGCCCCAGCGCGGGCATGACGAGCCCCAGAAAGGGGGGCAATGTTATTAGGAAGCCCAGGACGGGCACAGCAAGCCCTAGAGAGGGGGCAATATTATTAGGAAGCCCAGTGCAGGTGCGGTGAGCTTCTGAAGAATGGCTAGTGCTGCGACAAACCCCGGAGCAGGGTAGAGTGCTGTAGTTGCCCCTGTGAGAGGGGGTAGTGGCGCGGTGGCCCTGGGAGAAGGGGGCAGCAGTGCGGTGGGCCCGAGAGTCAGGCGGCATTGCCAGACTGGCAAGTTGGCAATGGCCAACTTTATCTAACCATCAAAGACATGGCGGGCGAGAATTTGAGGGTGCCCTTGGGTCGACTTGGCACGGTGAGGGGGGCCGTAAGGAGATCACGGCCCTCCTGAAGGACCCTGCCGTGACAGGGCAATCGCTAATCATTTTGTATGTTTTTCTCAAGATGATATTGCACTAAGATCCATAGTCTATTTTGAGATGTTCTTATTGTTTGTTTATTTCCAGTGTCATACAGCAGTCTTGTCTTTTCAATTTACAAAGAGACCCATATTAATAGCTCTCTATACTGCTGTTGGGATTTATTTCAAACTTGTGCTCAGAGCTAACCAATATACTTGTACAGTGGTTGCTTTTATGGTTTGAATGGCCCGATACTAATCTAGGCATTTTTACACTCTATTATGATTACATTTGCATGGATTGACAATAAACCTGGCATCTCCCTTCTTATTACCGTTGCATTTTATTTGGATGTACTTAAGTTTTTCTATCATTTATAACACTTTCCTTTTGGAAGGAACAATCTAATTTAAATATTCATTGTTCCTTACAAAGGCAAGTCCATTTATAATCATAACATTGCTTATCTTGATTATTACTTTTATTGCAAGTAACTCTGTCTCTAACTCACCTGCTAACTATTCATATTCACATGACTTTGATTTATTGCTCTGGTTTGTAGTCCTATTTGGTTACTACTGGTTAAGAAAATGTACCGTTCCTAAATGATGTTCTTTCCTGGATCCCGAGTTACACTTCAGTTGCCCACAAATGATTGGTAATATAGGGCTAACTAAATAATATCTCAAGGCCTGTATTTATATATAGGGTAACACTAGATGGGGTAATGACCCTTTAGGATCTTAAACCCTGTGTAAGAATTTTTGAACATGTTGAATGATTTTTTTCCCCATAAGTTTCCAAATATGCTTGCACAGGGGCAGTCCTTCACGCTCTCTAGTTTGTGTGAAATATCACTTGTTTTCATGAAATCTTGGAAGTACTAGAGTTGAGAGGATGCCTGGTTCACTGGTTAAAGCTGTGACTTGCAAAACTCAGATTCAGTTTTCTGTTGTGCATAATATATCCTGTGTGATTTAAGGGAAATCAATACATTTTTCGCTCTCTTGCTCACTGTCTCTCTCTGTTTACCCATCTGTAAAATGGGGACAATAGTAGTTTTTACCTCACTATTTTCTTTTGATAAATAGTATAAAGTTGGTACCCACAGAAAAGTAGGTAAGAGATTTAAATCAGTCACAACACTTTTTTTTAAAAAAAAGAAAATATTGAAATAAACTAAGATTTAAGAATTCTAAAACATACCAAAGGGAACTCTTTTAAGCATCTGCCTCTAATGGATATATGAAAAACATTTTAAAGTTTCCCATAGTAAGCACATTAATAATATCCATGTCCTGTTGTAGTCATCTCTAACATCATTAGCACAACTGTTATGGTTCTCCTTTGCTTGTCTACCTTTTGTAGCTCTCACTCAATCCACTGCCTGATTACTGGAGATGAGAGAGATTAGGCATTCTCAAACTAGATTAGGCATGTACAGTATTTATTTTGAGCAGAGAACGTGTTGTTGCAGGGTATTAATTAACTGCTCTTTTTTAATTTTTGCCTAATCTCTGCCTTTTGTTCTCCTCTGATGTGGGAAACATAGGAAGATTTAGAGCCAACAATGATGTAGCTTAAAAAAATATGGGCTCTAATGAAGTCAGCTGGAGTTTTGGCTTCAGTGGAGGCAGGATTGCAGCCCTCATATACAAGTAATAGAAATTCTGGGGGATGGAAAAATGGTGTGGTTGTTGTGTGGGGTTGATTTGAAAATTAAGTTGGTGGTGACTTGCAGGTTCTCAGAAGTTTGGAATGTTAAACTCCATGCTAGTGAAAGGGATTTAATGGTAGAGAATATGTAGGCTATCCTAGCTGAAGAGTGTATCAGAATCATATTTAAGAGCCCTACTGCAAATATATCATTTTACATTTACCATCCAAGGTAAAGGATTCTGAATGTATATGAAAATTAATACTAATTTTAATACAATTTTAAATAATTATTATATAAACCATAATTTTTTTTCAAATTTAGGTATTTTCACTCACATTGTACTACTTTATGCTCAGAGCCATACAAGCAACATTAGGATAACGTTTACATATGATACATTACTAGTTTGGCAAAAACTTTTCTTGAATTGAGTCTTTGGGATGTTTCACTGTCAGAAAGGAAGGAAAACTCCATTCAGTAAGAAAGGAGCAGAAACTCTACACATTCTATGTATGCACATACACTCCCACCTACGCACAAAAAATGTTGCCTTTTGTGTGTGTGTAATCTTCCTTTATTATTTTGCCAAAGTAGCATCATGTATGTACTTTGAAGACAAATTACATATTGTAATGAATACCGTATCTAAAAAGTGAAATGCCATTAAAGTGTAACAGCTGCTCTGCTAAGAGAAGAGGCAGTTAAAGGGATGATATTGTTCTGTTATGACTGTAAATATTCTTCTCACAAGACATGATACAATTATTCCTTCTTTTTTTTTCCAATTTAGGTGCTACAAAAGCTAGGGAAAGCGGATGAAACAAAAGATGAACAGTTTGAGGAATATGTTCAAAACTTCAAACGGCAAGAGGTTAGTTTCTTTTTTGATTTGTCTAATTGTATCTCAAAAAAAATCGGGTGAAGAAAATGTAGGGTAGCAGGTCAAACAAAGGCTATCAACAGATGTTGTCTTTGGAGCGGAATCAGCTGTACTGGAATATACCCCAGCACATCTTGATCCGCTTCATTAGCATCTATGGATGTCGCCATAGCTGTTGTGCCTGTTGTCCTGCAAGATCAAGCCCCTGCCACTGCTGGGGCTTGAGGGGCCTGATCTTGCAGGACAACGGCCCTGATTTGCGGCATGCATCTGTAAGCAGGTTGCTCTACTTACAGGTGCATAACCTGAGTTGGGGTGCAGAAGCCGGATATGCCACTGTGGGAATCCTGTAAAGAGGATTTCCCATGGCACACAATAAGTAACAGAAGTTCTCCCATTTTAAGGTGTTATAAACTGTGATTACCTTTGGTCATAGCACTTTTTTTTTACTATAAGGTGCCAGGATGTCCGTTTACTCACAACGCTTACTGTCCTAAAAATGTTTATGGTGGGCTGGGCCACACTAATCATCTGTGACAGGCTGTTTGATTATGTTTGCCAGATATTTAAGACTGGTGAAGAAACAGGAATAATTGAAAATGAGAAAGAAAGGCGCTGCTCAGCTGTGGGAGTGAAGAAGTGGTCGAAATGTATGTAGTGTATTGGCTCACTATGACTTGAAAAAGAGTCAGCATGGAGAGGGACTGTAGGCAATGGGCACTACCATGTCTTATTCAAATGGGCTGCACTACATTATCCTTGTGGTTGGTTCCCATCCACATTTGCCCAATATGTGACAAGTTTTTTATAGTCATGCTCAGTTTTAGCTGCATTTAATCAACTTCATAGCTCATTTCTATTACTGAGCACATGCTACTTTTGGCAGCAGTTTAACGATAGACAATGTATTTAATGAGGCTTCCTTGTATGCAAATGTAAGATGAGAGGCTTTTTTCCCCCATGCTGATTGGAGGAAAAAAATGTCGTCATGTATTTGAACAAATACAGTAGATTAATACCAGCACGACTTTTGTAGTACAAACATGAATTGAGGTCTCCCTTTTTTTTTTTAGTTCTTTCTGTTCTTTCCTATGCATATGGTTATTTTTATTTGTAATTTGTATTTAAATAACGCAGGCCCAGGACCTTATTTCCTTTCTTGAATCTCTTCCTGAATGAACTCTGGATACAAAATATCTATCTTATTTATCCAGTGTGTTTTACATATAAACGAAAATGAATGAAAGGAAAAAAACCTATTGTTTAATTAACCTCCTGAACTGGTCACGTCAGCAGGGGAAGTGTAGGTTGGAGATTAGGAGTAACTTTCTGACTATGAGCGTAGTCAAGCTTTGGACCAGGCTACCTAGAGAAACTGTGGGATCTCCATCCTTGGAAGTTTTCAAGAGCAGGTTGGACAGACACTTGGCTGGGATGGTTTAGTCAGGGATGATACTGCCTTGAGCAGGGAGCTGGAGTAGATGAACTTATAACAACATCCCTTCCAGCCCTACTTTCCTATGATCCTAAGACACATCTAAGTCTACTTTCTGTGTCTGTTCACATTTTCTCTCTCTCATAAGTCAGAAAAGTGAACTATAGGGGTGGGGAGTACTAGAGTTGGGTTTCCCTTGCCTTCCTGAATCCTAGAGGGAGACAGTGATATCTTAAACCACTGAGGCCAAGAAAGAGGGAGAAACATTCAGACATGCAGAAATCTCCTTTTTTTTTCTCCCCCCCCCCCTCTTTCTTTCCTTTTTTCCACAGTTTTAAGGGGTATGTTTACTTGACATTGGGTTGCTTATGTTATTTTCAGCCAAGTGTCCCTAGTAAGAGAGTGAGATGAAGAGAGAGAACCTCCCATTTCAGCAAAATTGTCCCTCAAGAATTTTTTAAAGAATTATCTGTAATGGCGTCTTTCATTTGGATGTCTTGCTTAAGGTCTAAAGATAGTTTCATAGTGGGTAGGGTCGGAAGGAACCTGAGCAGATCAAGTCCAACCCCCTGCCGTGGCAGGAACGAGTACTGGGGTCAAACGACCCCAGCAAGGTGTTTGTCCAGCCTCCTGTTAAAGACCCCCAGAGTAGGAGCCAGCATCACCTTGCTTGGAAGTTGGTTCCAGATCCTAGCTGCCCCGACAGTGAAGTAGTGCCTCCTGATATCAAGCCTGAATCTACCCTCTGCCAACTTGTGACCATTATTTCTTATCACTCCTGGTAGTGCTCAGGGGAACAGGGACTCCCCCAATGCCTGCTGGTCCCCTCTGACTAGTTTGTAACAGGCCACTAGATCCCCCCTCAGCCTTTTTTTGTGGAGGCTGAACAGGTTCAGGTCCCATAGCCTCTCCTCGTAGGGCCTGCCCTGCTGACCCCTGATCATGCGGGTGGCCCTCTTCTGGACCCTCTCGATGTTGTCCACATCCCTCCTGAAGTGCGGTGTCCAGAACTGGACGCAGTACTCCAACTGCAGCCTGACCAGTTTTGCAAAGAGGGGGAGGATCACTTCCTTGGACCTGCCTGAGATGCATCTGTGGATTCATGACAGAGTACAGTTGGCCTTCCTGACCACGTCACCACACTGTCGGCCCATGTTTATTTTGGCATCAATAATGACTCCAAGATCCTTTTCTGCCTCTGCACTGACAAGAAGGGAGTTCCCCAGCCTGTAGGTCTGCTGCTGGTTCTTCCTCCCCAGGTGCAGCACCTTGCACTTGTCAGTGTTGAAACCCATCCTGTTCTCATCCGCCCACCACTGTAACCTGCCAAGGTCTGATTGCAGCCTATTCCTCCCTTCTAGCGTGCCCACTTTTCCCCACATCTTAGAGTCAACTGCGAATTTGAACAGAGTGCTTTGTACCCCTACATCCAAGTCACTGAAGATGAAATTGATCTTCCTATTCATGTTGTATTTTCTCTGTCTTTGATAGATAGACTGGCAGTGATGAACAGCCATGACCTCTGCAGAACCTCTTCTCTTAGTTGCATATATGAAATGTGTTGTGTAATCTGGAGGTGCCTAAAATGAGATGCTATTTCCACAAGATAGTACCAATGTTTAAGATATGCTTATGTTTGCTCTCTGGGTTCTGCTGGGTCCCACTGTCCTGTAGTAAGATTGAGAGATACCCACAGGCTCTGCTAGACTTGAACACTTTTTATGGGAAAAGAAAAATGATGGCAAGTTGAAACCCTTTCCTTTTGCACCAAAAGGAGCCATTGCTTGGTAGTTTATATATACTTTCAAATATCCTTCCTCTTGTTTTGTCCTTGCTTTGATCAGCAGTGAAATGGTTAATGATGTTGAGATTTAAATAGTGCCGTTATGGGTCTAAATTAAAATTCTGATTAACACCTTTCAGAGCTGTTGTTCTCTGCAGATTCACACAGACATCACTGCATCAGTTTACACTTGGTTCACCTTTGCAAGGTTACCTCTGCAACTGAAGAGGATTTTTAAAAATAAAAATTAAAGCTGAGACTGGAGAGGTAACATATAGCTTGGGGGACATGCTGATGTTTTCTATTGTTGCATTACTGGGCAATTCTTCATTGTGCTATGGCACACAGAGTGTTTCGAGTGGGCACTGCTGTTTGGCAGTAGAACAAAGCCAGTTTGTCGCTAGCAGGGAATACCCCACAGTGGCAGATGGCTCAGCCAGACCTCCCTGCAATGAGGAAAACTACCAACTTTATTTCCAGTGTCTGACTTGCATGAGTAACTGGTGCCTCCTGAATCTGGGGGGGGGCACTTGCAGAAGCCACCGACCCTGTCAGGGGGGCACTAGCCCTATCAACAGCATCAGTGTCGGCTGTTGGGGGGGTACCAGCCCCATCAGAGGGGTCATGTGCACACCCTACCAGTCACCTATGCTGACTTGCCTTATGAGTCTGTCTTGCATTCAGCTGTTTCCCTAGGCTGCATTTGATTTGGGGAGAGATTGTAGCCTGGAAAAAGAATGGGTCTGTGTTTCCTGTGGGCCTTTGTTATCGACGATCCTGCTGGGGCACCTTGGGGAGTCTAGCTGGCTCTCTGGGCAGAAGCAGTTCCCATACTCCTCAATAATAGCCTTGGCAGTGCTGCCTCACTTACCTTCTGGCAAGAAATAAGCCAAGTGGGATTAGAAAATTTGGCTCCAGGGTAAGCAGCCCTCACATCTGTCTGGCATGCACTCATCGCATCTCAATTCCAGAACCTGCCTCAGGAGCCACGTTCCTGATTGCAGAACTCCCTGCTTCCTCTGTTCTTCTGTGGGTCATGAATGGAAGTACTGGCCATATGGTGGACACTGCCAGAATCCAAGTATGTAGAAAAGGACTTTGTGGAACATCTCCTTTCCCCTTCTTCCACTTTTAAACCTTTATCTTTCCATGTGAAACTGTGGCCTCCCAGGCTAGTCGCTGAGAAAATTCTGTTCCCTGTAAGCAAGAATCTCAGTCCCAAAATTGACAATTTCCATCAATCCAGTGATAACCAGTAGATACCTGGGGTGGTATAATCATACAGCAAGAGGCAACTTCTCAGATAACTAACAAATCCGTCAGTGGGCCTTGAAGGTGAGAACCGAAGTCTTCCATTTGATTCAATGCTCAAACTGGAGCTGGAAAATAAAACATTGTATATATAGAGATGATTGTATGCCCTTTGTTGCTGAGCGCACACCTCCTTGTGTTCTGAACTAGCAGTATAATTTTTACGTGAGGTTCATGCTGGAAATTGTAACACCTGTGTACTGGAAATTACAATAATAAAAAAAATGTATAGATCACCCTGGCTACAGACCACAGTAGGAATAGCACAAGCTTCTTTGCCAATCATAGAAGAAAAATGGTGTTTTTAACTACTACAGCTATGAGATTATTGCAGAGCAACTGAGAACTTCCTGGTGCCCTACCTGTGAGCTATAGGCTGGTACCTTTCAAAGAAACCCATAAAGGCTCATGGAGGGAAAGGACAATAAATGCAGTCATTTTGAGGACAAGATCATGTTTTTT